CACACACACACACACACACACACACACACACACACACACACACACACAATCCCTGAGGGAACATTCTTTGACAGTTCATGTTGCTTTTGTGCTTCAGTGAACAAACACACACACACACACTCGATGGCGTGTTTAAACACACTCATTTAGGCACAAACAGTAACACGTCTGCACCTGGTCATCCAAAGTTAAGGAACTGCTTCGGAAACCTCACGCCCTTTTATCCAAATAGTTGAGTTCTCAGTAGGTGGTGTGTGTGATTGTGTGTATTTCATGTGAAGTTTCCCTGTCTTGTCTTTGACACCAGCAAGTTTCCAGGCACATCACACCTGAAAGGAGTGATAATCTCATGAAATACAGTACTGTGGGGCTGTTTGATTGATAGGTTGTTTTCAGATGGTACTGGTAAAAATTAGAATTAGATAAATAAGCATTTATACATCACACACCAAAGTAACACCATTTATTGTCAAGCTGAAGTGTGATACATTAGTACTTTACAATGTTCTATATAAAACACCTTATTAAAATGTAACCAGTTGCACTTGTTCTAAAATGAACACCCAACACTGATAGTTGATTTTTTTTTACAATGAACATTATATTGAGTTTCATAAGTAAGTTTTAAAGTATTTATATTGACACTTTTTTAAGGCTGGAGTTTGAAGTTTATTTGATTAAAAACCAGTAAAGGAGCTTATATTTGTGTAACAGAACAGGATGTCAGTGCCAGGTAAATCAGCCTGGCTTTCGCAATTTACCGGATTTAAATCAACAAGCTGGAGACAATGCAGCTCTGGCATTCACTAAGTGATGTTTTCTACATATTTGAGACCTGCGGAGCGACAATAGACGATAACTGATTGCTGGGTGTGTTTTTCAGATAAAGTGGAAATGTGAGCCTATAGGCCTGATGAAACTCAATCATCCAGGAAGTTTTAGATTTACCAGATAAAGAGCAGGTTTTGTTGGAAAAATAAAAAGCCAGCTGTAAATCATTCAGATTTAATATCAAATAACCACTAAGGGAGTGAGCTGAAAGTTTGTTGATTCCTGTACGCTGACGACTGTGTGTTTTATTTTGTAGGAGCCTGGTCTGTGCAGCCATGCTGATGTATGATTACCCTTCAAAGACAGACATGGAGTCGGTAAGGCATGTGTGTGAGTGGGATATCTGTGTGCTTCCATCGTGCCTGAACATGTTGCTCATCCCCCCCCACCACTACTACCCAACATGTACCTATAGACACACCATTAAACACACACCCACACACACTTTTGCTACGCGTCTAGACCGACTGGTTCCCACATTCCTGCTCTTCCTGGACAAATAACAAGCTGCTTTGCAGTAGAAATTTGCATACAATGGTCACACACACACCCTGCCAGGCTAATGGACACACACACACATTACTCAGAACAGCTATCTGTTCCTGAAAAGGCCGCTGAGTTTAAACTTTTTTTCTCGTTGTTTGCGCTGCAGAAACATGTTTTCCGTGTTCCTCAAGGCCGAGCGGAAATGTTTACCTCTCTGCTCTTTTGTCTCTCCTCTCCTCTTCCTCGCAGTCGTTCTACACTTCTTTGGTGCAAACCCCAGAGCCGTACGGAGTGATCTTCCCCCACCCCGGCACCTTCTACCCAGTCCCTATGCAAGCCTTCGCCCAGCCTCACACCCCACAGACACAGCTGGAGCCCGTGGACTTGTCCGTCAGCAAGCGCTCCTCCTCCACCTCCTCCTCCCCGCCGTGCTCCTCCACGTCGTCCCCGACCTCCCCTCCCAGCTCCCCGTCGTCCCCGTACAGCTCGGCGAGCCGCGCCTCCCCCCGCTCCCCACTGCGCTCCTCGCCGTCCCACACCCTCCCGCCGCCGCCGCCCACCGCCTCCCTGCCTTTCCACTCCAACATGGTGACTCCCCTGGTGGGCTCAGGCTCCGGGGTCATGGTGTCACCGGTTATGGTGCCCCTGCCCGTCTTCTACCCGCCTCCTCTTCACCTGCACCAGCCCATAATAGTGAGCCAGCAGGTCGCCGGTGACAACGACCATCATCCAAGCAGGGAGCGCAAGCCAGGTGTGTGGCACAGACTTCCTGTTTAATTCAGAGCGATCATTTTGAACAAATACTATCTTACCTGTTGAAGGTAGCTCAGTTTGAATAAGTTTAATTTAAAGCTTGATCTTAAAACGCTTCATCACTTCCACATTACACAGGAAATGTGATATTCCTGCAGGAAGGCTCACAGTGCAACAGACACTGCCACTGTTATTACTAAAACCACAAAGTCTCAACAAAATAATGATTAAAATCTGATAGTGTTTGTTAAATAACGTTTGCATGAACTGCTATGAAAAATTTGAGAATTGTTTTAAAATTACAGCTGTCTACTTGGGTCCTGTCTCTTCACTTTGATCATTTTTGTTCATATAACATCACTAAGCTACAAAGTTCAAATTTAAGTTAGACATTTTTTTTCCAAATACCTTATTTATTGTTTTAGGCTTTAGACTCATCATCATCAGATACGTAATGTTTATGGATATGTGTTTAAATGTGTTCATTTACAATAAAAACCTTCTCCTTCTTTCACTCTTACCCAGTTCTCCCTATGAAGGCGGTGGATGGACACAACCTGCACAAGCCCATCAAGACCGAGGCTCAGCCTGAACTCTGTCAGGACCAGCTGAGCAGACATGACAGCAAACCAGCAGCCATCAGGATACCGCCCGAGTACGAGTGAGTCCAAACACCCACATGAAACTGACTAAACACAAAGAATTCCGCAGTGCTTCCACTTCTACTTTAAATGGAAGTGACTCAGTTTCAGCTCCATCCTGATTGGGTTTAAGGCAGATGTAGTCCCCGGGAACACACTCGTTCATGAGTTCAGGAACGGATTACTTGTGCTCATCCATTTTTGTCTTAGACACTTTAAAAGAAGGAAGACTTTTTACATCTAGACTAATTACATCAATGTCTGCGCAAGTTCTGTTCTGGTAGAACAAATGTTTCACAGACATGAATCTGTCGTTCCTTCGTTGCATTTCTCATTCTCCTAATTTCTCATCCCGTCTTTCAGCCACGCCTCCCTACCACGAGGATCTCACGTCGGCCATCTTGATGAAGCTTCATCAGTGTTTTGTTTTTTTTCCTTCTCGTCTCTCCTCCCCAGGGTTCCCACGGGTCCTTGAAATCCTTGAAAGCTTGTGAATTTGAAAATTATTTCAAGGCCCTGTAAAGTTTGTGAAAACAGCCAAAAATTACACTTGTCCTTGAAAGTCCTTGAATGTTTTTTTGGGGGATTGAAATTCTCTATTCACATGATTGATTTTCATCATCTTTTAAAAAAAGAAAGTATAAAATTAAATAAAAGAACTTACATTTGTTGCGGAGGATAACTCAGGATTACGGTAAACTGACGTCATTGTTTCTGACTCAACAACTTCTGTGTTGTTCACTTTTTCATTGAATTTATATGATATCAAACCTGTTTATTGGTATCATTCTGTGGTAGCAGTAGGTAATTTCCACTGCGTGTGGTTCTTTAATTTAAGGAAACTGGTACTGGAAATTCCTTGAAAGGTCCTTGAATTTGATGTTGCCCAAGGTGTGGGAACCCTGTCTCCCTCACTCCGGGTACTTCTTGTTCTTTTTCAACAGATTGATGGTTGGCCTTTTTTCTCCTCTTCAGCTCCCCTCGACGCTTCTTCCCGCTCTTGATCTTCAATGTTACGGATCGGTTTCGCGCAACAGCGTTTCATCATTTTGCAAAATGAAGGCTTTTCCTCATAAAAATAATTGCAGGGTATGTCACCGGTGCAACAGTCGGGGAGGCACACCTGCGGTTAGTTCTCATCCGTTTGTTGTTTGAGTGTACGTTGAGTGCAAGCCATCCGTTTCTGATGTTTGTCAGCGCAGCTGTCTTTTACAGGCCGCTTTTGTCCCCGAGCCAACTGTAAAAGAAATGGTCCCTTAAGAGAAAACAACAAGGTGTGTTGTTTCTGGTTGTAATGACATACGAAACTACGATTTAAACTCATAAACTTTATTACAGAAACTGTATCACTTCCCTTGACACCATTAGAGAAAACATGTCCCATATATTAGGCCTGTTTTGATTTTAGCACAATATTGTCTGCCTTATGTTGTTACAAATCACCCTTTAGTGACAAGAAACAGCAACAGAACAGAAATGTGCCTACCCAAGAACACAACATCCCTATTATTATTATTATTATTATTATTATTATTATTATTATTATTATTGTTATTATTATGAAAGCAATTAGCTTTAGGCCATTGTAGCCTTTTCTCAAAAAGATTAGTATTATTTTCCTGCAAAATAAATTATCTTTAACCTTTCAGGTGGGAGATTAATTGCGAATAAAGTCGTCTTCATAAAACATTATCGAAATTGCAACTGGCTCAAAATCACAAGACTTTTGTTCACATTCTTTCCCTTTTTTCCACAAACATTTTTTTTAAACCAACATTTTTCTTCAGTCTGTTGTCTAGCTTGGTGCATGTTTTTCCCTTTGCAGAGCAGTTTGTTTTTGTCGCTGCTTTTGGGCTGAGAGGTTCTTTGTTGTATCGGTTCTTGGCGTTTCATTGGAGCGAAGCGAAAATCGTGCTGCATTCCAACTTTTCCCATCACTGAGGAACAAAGGAACTCAGGTCAATCTGCTGCTGTTCTGATAAAAGATCGCTGTACCGCTCCCCTTTTTCCCACGTCGCCTCTGACCATAGCTCCAACAATGACCTTGGTGGGTTTGAATAAACCTAAGAGCACATCAAAGGTGTGACGTTATCTGTTAGCGCCTCTTCTTTGAGCTCGCTGTTTTTACTTGTATATGTACGCCGAATAACGTACGTTACCAATGACTTTTATTTCTTAGGGAGCTGGTGGGTGTGCGTAATAATGATGGGTTTGCCAGTGTTCATCTGAATGTGAGGGTGGAAGGGGAATTTTGCACATTCCTTTATCCGTGATTGATTCACATTTCAACACTTGACACCTGTTTTCAACCGCCACTTACACAAACACACAAACAGCCAATTCTTCCAGGATATGACACAAAGACATTTCCTGATATTTTTGGCCTGAAACTCAACTTTTTTTTAAATGCACGCAGCGGCAGGAGCTTTAGAGTCCTGGAAATACATGTAGACTAGGGCCTGAAAAGGTGTTACAAAAATGTTTGCTACTTCCCAGGTTTTAGAGCTTAGTTTAAGTTGTGAGTGCGCGCACTGAGACTGGATTTAAGTGAACGAATAGTTGAAGTGCAGATTGATAAAGTTGTGACATGACAGAGGTTACAGGACAAAGAGCCAGGCCGGGGTTAGACTGGAAGAAGATGGGCGGGGTAGTTTAACTTCCTGACAGAAACTATTGCTCAGGAGAGAAGCTGCAGCCCAATAAAACTGGTTTCAACACCACGAAAGGGAAGTCTGGCGTCCTCTGCTGGTCAAAGTAAAAAAATCTGATAGTCAACATTTTCAGAGTCCTTAACCCCAAATGAGTCTTTCATGGATGTTGCCATGACCTGTATTTTTTTTTAATTTATTTATTGTTTTTGTTTTTTACTTACTGATTTTTAATTTAAGGACAATTTAACCCTTGATATGAGGGGAAAACATATGCAGGCTTTCCTACTTTGTTATTTTTATTTAACAGCCTATCAAGACATTGCAATCAGTACATTTTAAGCACATTTTCTTCTGTCTCTTTTAGGTGCAACAACCCATCAGTAATAGTTCGTATGAGCTCGAAGCATCCCCTCCCCGCCGAATCTCCCGACACTCTGAAAAAGCGAAGGATTCACCGCTGCGACTTCTCAGGCTGCAACAAAGTGTACACCAAAAGCTCCCACCTCAAAGCACATCGCAGAACACACACAGGTGAGAGGTCTCAGCCGCACTTTTCCAGATGTTAAAGATGATAAACGAGCCTTACCTTGTTGCTTCTCTGTGCAGGGGAGAAACCCTACAAGTGCATGTGGGAAGGCTGCACGTGGAAGTTCGCCCGTTCAGACGAGCTCACGAGACACTTCCGCAAGCACACGGGAGTCAAACCGTTCCAGTGTCCCGACTGCGAACGCAGCTTCTCCCGCTCCGATCACCTGGCTTTGCACAAGAAACGCCACCTCCTGGTGTGAATCCCTCCACCGGACAGCATGGATTTTATGTAGGGGGTTAATTGTTGGACTGAACCACTTGGACTTTAATGGGGTTAAAATAGCCATTCTTAACAGGGAGTGGGGAACTTTTCCTCAGGGTGCACGTTTTAACCCTTTCACCTCATTAGAGCGAAGAGTAAGAGCTGATGTCAGCTCATTTTGACCTTTCAAAAGACATGTGGTTGCAGCATCAGAACTCTGATCAGCCGTGGAAGATCCAAACACCTGTCCTTTCTTCTAACTTTTTTTTAAAGGGGGTGGCTGCAGCATCTCAGCTGGCTTGAGAGCGGCGCCCTCCTCTGGCTGCAGAGCCAAACAACACCAAGCAAAGCATGGCTCAAGCCTCACACATCTCATCATCTACACACGCGTGTTATTTGCTCGCTAGGCCAGTAAAATGTGAAACCTTCCAGAATGTATCATATCACACACCCACTGTGCTTCGTGTCAAATGTGCTTCAGCTTTTTGAAATACCTTTTTTTTTTTCCAGGTTTTTGCTCAGCTACCTGTGACATAATGCTAATCTTTCTTTTTTTTAATGCGCCTACACTTTACAGCACCACACACCACATCTGCCTCTTCAAGCTTACATGATGAAGTGATGACAGGTAGCTCATGCTTGCTTTCTTCCTACACATGCAGTATGGCTCAGACACAACAGAAAAGTGCACTTAATAAAAGCAGCTCATAGCCTTGGTCTTGTTTGTGCTTTTGCATGGGAAAAAAAAGGAAACAAAGTGGGACTCATTCATTTTTAGAGTGAAGTGTTTATCAAAGTTTTCATTCAGAAATGTGAAAGTAGCTTCCCAGGGGCATTATTTGTATGAGTGATAAGATACCACTCACTTGGTTTAAGGGTAGAAGAATTATTATGTCTTATGTATTATTAACGAATTTTATATATCTATTTTGGTTTTTGACATGACACCGTGGTAGCCTTTTTTATTTGTGGCACTTTTATAAATGAAAAATGCAAAGTGCATAGCAGGGAGTTGTTGCTCTTAAGCGAATGGCATTTCAGGAGCAATTGTGCCGTTTACGAGCCCGCCTTGCAGAAGATGTGCTTCGAAATTGAATTTTATTAATCCGCAGTGATTGTAATCAAAGCCACACAACAGCAGTTACACTGCTTCTAAATGCCATTGTGATTTTAGAGCACAATTTTTTTTTTTACACATTTTGGAGAACAAAATATTTTAAATAGCGTCTTTGTACATCTCCAATGTGCACTTTATATATAATAAATGTATAGAAAACAGTATACTGTATATTATTCCCAAAGCCAAAATATTTGAAATCACTTTTTTGATGGTCTGATCAATCAAACGCTTTGAGCAGGTGTCATGGTTTGTCATTTTCCAATGCCTCATATATTCATATGTACACAAATAACTATACCGAATGTAGCAGCTCAACTGATCTGTGTTTTGTTCATTGATACTCTTTACAGTTTTTGTCTGTTTTGTTTGTTTTTGCTTGTGTATATTTTTATATCTATGCAGATGCAAGTTGTTATATAATTGATTTTTCAATGAATGGGCAATTAAAGGTTTTTGATATGCATGATTTTGATACTCTATATACATTTCTATTATTGTTGCGTCTTTATTAAACCATATCTCTTTTTAATCTAAGTGGTGGCAATTCAAAGGGAACATGTTAAACTGTGAACATACAACTGTATAGGTTTATTTGCAATTTTACATTTTTTAAGAAAGAATTTTAATATCACTCAATAAACTTATTGGTAACATTTGCTAAATGGATTGTTGTGTCAAAACGTGTGTGTGTTCTTTCCCACAGTTGTATCGTTTTATTATTGAGGACTTAAATTGTACAGTTTAATATTGAAGTTCTTCTAGCTTAGATGTTTGCTGTAAGTTTTACAAACCCTGCACATACAAAGCACACACAGTAGTCACAGGAAGTGTATTTCAATATTAGTTGACATTTTTAATGTGTTCTTTGATGAGAACTGACTAAATAATAAAAATAAATAAAAATAAAAAAATTCAAGATTTCTCTAAAGCATTGGGCTCGTCCGGGATTTGAACCCGGGACCTCTCGCACCCTAAGCGAGAATCATACCCCTAGACCAACGAGCCACGACGTTGGACCGAAGAACATAAGGTCAAATCGTAAAAGTGTGAAACCCACGCGTGTTTTGATGGTTTTCTTAAAAACATTATGCATTTTATACATTTTTATGCTCTAAATGACGGATAAAACATATTACTTGTAATTTTCTGCTCAGACCTCAAAAGTAAAAGTAAGATGCTTCCCTTCTCATCATTTCCGATTTTGCTTTGCTTGTTATTTATTAGCTTCTACTCTTAAACTTTGTTTAATGTCATTACTTTCGATAAAGCGTCAGGTGAAACAAACTTAAAAAAACAGAAAGCTTTGAATTTTGTATGCTTGTTTGTCTTTGTGTCTATGGTGTATAATGATGTGAATGTGATGCTGTATTTCTGAGTGTTTTATGTGCTGCAGAACAGGAACCTGCTGTAAAACAGCAATTATGCTGAGTCAGGCTTGATTTTTAATAATCTTTTCCATTTAATAAATAAATCAAATCAAATCAAGGCAGCGTTGTAGGTGAAATTTATATCGAATGCAGAGTGAATTAAATGTTGTGTAGCTTCAACTCAGGTTAAAACCCGTGCAGTTAGAGCGACTCTGGCGGCAGGGAACTATCTTGAGAGTTCTTCATCTCTGGTGCCGTCAGTGGTCTCGCGGCCTGCCGACGTGGCGGGGCGGAAGAGGAGCCGCTGGCTGGCACCAAACGGGTGAGCTGCACTGTTTGATTGTCGAAAACAAAACTATCTTTGAACATTTCAACTTCCCTGTGTAAAAACTGCACAGACTAAACTCTCTACAATGATAACTACTGTGTCGTTCTCGATTAAAGAACTACAAATGTCGCGTTTTTCCTGTTAAAAGAAAAAAAAAAGAATTGTCATGATATTGGCTTTAAATGCTGCATACAATTTGTGTTTGTTTCCAGATTTCCTAGCAGTGTGTTGCAGAAGTTGTAGAGTTGTTATTAAGTTTTAAACAATTATAAATGAAACAAAATGTATTTGTTGTTGACTTGACTTGTAACTTGTGATGATTTTGTGTCACATTTAGGGGTCACTGCATTCTACTAGCGCGTTTATTTGTATTATTATTTATACTTTACATACAAAATTCTGATATTCTTATTGTTCCAGGTCACTTTTAAAAATTATATTTTAAGATTGCATTGTGTTTCAACTTTTTGAAAATGCCTTTAAAATAACATTGCAGCTCGAAAAAGCAAAGCAATATATTTATCTTGTTGTATACTATTTTTTGAGGAATAACAATAACTACAATAACTATGTAATTATAACTTTTTGGCTGCCAAGAAACAAAGACAACAGACTGAAAACATTGGGCGACAATAATAAATGAATTAGGTGTACTTGCAGAGAGTTGCCACAAGATGGCGACATTGTTCATAAATAAAAATTCATGCTTTTTATTTTAGTTTGTAAAAGTAAGAAAACCATATTTTAATCTGTTTTAAAATGTTCAAATTTTTAAGTTTTGTTTAAAAAGTTGCTTTTTTTTCTTAAATTCCCAAATAGATTACTGCAAAGAAAATTGTTAAAAAAGCGATCTTATTACTTATTGACTATTTCAATCAGTTTTAGGTTAATTTACTGATTCTTGCAGTAACTTGCAGTTTGATGCTGAAAAACTGCAAACTATAAAACTATTTTAAAAACGTTTAATTTACACCAGTGGTGTTTAAATAATCAACTTTTACCCAAATAAAATGGTTAAAGTGTTTGCAAACTTGTTTTACATTGATTTATTGATTGACTCAATCTTTGGGCTAGAGAACTGACCTCTTGTTTTGCCATTCAGTCATTATTCTTGTGTTTACAAGAATAGTTGAGTAAGTCACACAGTCTTTTAGTTGTTTTTCTGTTCTTTTAAATGCTTATAATTTCTTATTACAAGGGCAGGACTAACAGACAGTACAGATTAGTAATAACCCCTCTTACAGATAAGCATCCTCTTCCTAGATCACCATGTCCCAGGCAGCCCCCTCTGAAGCGGAGCTCAGTACCGACAGTGGGCCTCCATCTGCACACCCTCCACACACCGATCCTGTTCCCCATCAAGATGTCCCAACGTCACCTGAACACCCATCCGCTCCACCGCAGCCTCCTCCCATACCTGTCGACCATCCACGGTCCACCGAGGAGGCAGTGGTGGAGGACGCCAAACCTGATGCTACAGAGGGTGCAGTGGAGGCTCCTGCCGAGGGTCAGGTGACTGAATGTGACCAAACGGTGAGCCTGGAGCCAGAGGCAGACGGTTCAGAGGAAGAGGTGAACTATAAACAGTTAGATTGTAGCTTTAATCATGGATACTTGTGATTTAAAACTAATCTTGTGATTTATGTAATGTGTTTACAGACATCTCTCCAGCAGAAAGAGAAAATCTGGGGAGGCTGGAGTTCGTGGGGAAAATCTCTCCTGAGCAGTGCTACCTCTACTGTTGGTGCGTCTCCTGTTTTCACTTTTTATCCCTTGTTTTCTGGATTAGTTTTAGCAACGCAGCAGGGCTTTGCTAGAGTCAGATTTAGAATTGATGCCAGTTAAAAACTAATTTTAGACTCCACATCCTATGTCCTCCATCCTTGACGTGTGTAAACTTCCATGATTCTGTTTACAGGGCAAAGCCTGACCTCCGTTAAGGTGAAGGCAGGAGAAGCTCTTCGTCTTCACAGGACCTCAGTAGGGGAGGAGGCGCAGGAGGAGGAGATGGAGGGAGCAGAGGAGAAGGAAGAGGCAGGAGGAGGTGAAAACACTGATCCGTCCAGCTCAGAGGAGTCTTCATCGTCAGGAGCGGCCGCTGCTGCGGCACCAAGCAGAGGTGTTTTCTCTTCAATCACACACGCTGTGCAGAACACTGTGAGTGAACACACACACACAAAAATGCAAAATTTTGTGTTGCAGTCTCACGTGACTAGCAAGCATGAGTTCTGATTGGACTGAGCCTCCAAATTGTGTTTTTTTTTTTTTTTGTCCCTTCTTTTGCCTCTAAGGGTAAGTCCGTCATCAGTGGAGGTCTCGATGCCTTGGAGTTCATTGGGAAGAAGACCATGACCGTTCTGGCTGAAAGTGACCCCGGTTTCAAAAAGACGAAGATCTTAATGCAGAAGACCGCCTCTCTGAGTCAGGCATGTGGATGCACAATTAGTCCACCCGCTTCGGATGTTATCATCCATTAAATGGATGTTATTAGCGGTTATCAGTCCCATAGAATGGCTTCAGACTGTCAGCTGGTTAATATGAGGCATAAAGCTATTAAGGTTAGTTTTAGAGAAAATGACGGGCTACGACAAACTAGACCGGACTCAGATTGTTGCATTCCAACATATATGACACTGGTAACCCACTAGGGGGCACTGTTGGGACAGTCTGAAGCCATTCTATGGGACTGATAACCGCTAATAACATTCATTTAATGGACTGATAACGTCCGAACCGGCTGAATTCATCATCCTCCGTCTGAGGAAACACTGCGAGGAAATCTGCAGTTTCTAACTTCTGTTCTGCTCTTGTCAGATGTTGAGGGAAGCGAAGGAGAAGGAGCGAGCTCGTCTGAGCAGCCAGCTCGTCGGTGCGCCCACGGCTCACTACGGCATACTGTTTGATGACTACCAGGGCCTGTCGCACCTCGAGGCCCTGGAGATCCTGTCCAATGAGAGCGAAGTGAAGGTAAAGCTCAGATATCCAGCCTGGGAACAGAAACTCCGTCCGATTACATTCAGCGCACTTGCATCTTTGTTCTCCCAGGTCCAAGCCTACCTCTCCTCCCTGGTGGAAGAAGAGCAGGAGGAGGTGAAGAAGGAGCTCATCTTCATCAAAGACATTTTCATCAAGCAGCAAGAAGAAGAAGAAGGAGAGGAGAATGGAGGACAGACGAAGGATAACGGTGATCTAAGTTCCCAAATACACAGTTCTACTCCTTTATGTGAGTGATCCAGACCAGACTGAGGTAGACGCAGACCCTGAGCGCTGACCCGGGATCAGGTGGTTTTTGGCAGACTTTGACAAAGGGACATGCAATCAGGGGAGAGACACCTAAATCTGAGCTTTTCTTTTAACGTCAGCGTATTAGAGACGATGGTTTAAACAGAAGATTAAAAATACAGGTTTAAAAAATGGTTAGATCTTAGTCAACAAATGAAAGCAAACATAATAAATAATGGGTTTTTTTCTTCAGCAAAGTGGGTTGCTGTCATCTTAAAACTACCCTAATATGAAAATAATTTTAGTGGTTTATGTAAACACCTTCCCTAACACATTTTCTAACCATAACACAATTATTTTGGCAAAAATATTAGGATATTTCTGCCAGAAGCAAGCCCAAGGTTCTAAAAATAGATTTTTTCAGTAAATAACAAAATAGGGCAAATTGACAGCAGTGTAAAAAGATATAAAGCAGAATTTGAGTAAACTAATATAATATTTTTAAATTAGTGTATTGGTCTTGCTTAGACTAGCTATTTTTATTTATTTATTTTCTTTATTTATCCTTTATTTATACAGGAAAATCTCTTGAGACTCACTGTCTTGTTTACAAAAGAGACCTATCAAACACCACAACAAAGTAACAAAAACAAAAATAATACAATTTACTTAAAGGCACAGTGTGTAGGGTTTGTTGTTTTCAGCGACATCTAGTGGTTGAGTGGTTGAATTATCCTCCCTGGTCCTCCCCCCACCCCCACCCCCTGCTTCCAAATGCCACGGTGTCTCTCAGGTGTCAAAAACCTTTGATAATTCCAACTGCGATGTCTACCAGCAGCTTCAGGGCTAGTGATGTTTCAAATGGTAAGATAAAGAGCTTTAATAAGTAAAATTATACCTGCTATGTTTAAATGCACAAAATTTTTTAATCGGATTGAAATGTATTCAGATTAAATAATCCGAATGTACTGTTTACATGGACCCAATCCAATCATGAAAAGTGTTTACATGCACCGGAGTTTTATTCAGAATAAAAGTCTGGACATGCGCAGTGTTGTAAACGTTCAGCTCTACTTCTGTGTTACAAACGTAAACAAAGCTCCTCTGTGTGCTCAGGACGGACCCGTGTCAGCTTTTAATAATGGTAGAGACGCCGTTACTCCTTGGTCGAGCTACAGCCTGCAGGTGAAGCAATACGTGCTTTTTATTTTTATTTTTTGCGAAGCAACGTCTACTGTTTGCCTCCTTTTTCATCTGTTAAGAGAGGAGGAGGAAAAGTTCTGCACAGTGCAGCACAGCTGGAGCACTGCTGTCCCACCGGGTGAATGAAAGTCAGCAGACATGCGCACAGGTCAGTTTTCTACAATCAGAATAAGATGATCAGATTAAGTGTTTACATGAACCTCATTCCGATTATCAATCGGCATAACCCACCCTTTTCATTCGGATTAAAAATTCATTCGGATCGAGCTCAATCGGATCAGAATAATCGGAACAAGCTGTTTACATGACGCATTTTAATTCCGAACGGCTGTTTAATCCGATTACTTTTATCCATGTAACCGTAGCTAATGACAGACAACAAATATTACATTTATAGTATTACAACTAAAACCGTTTTTGACGCCACCACCGCAGTTTGTCCTTCATGAGCCTTCGTAGACAAGATGGCGGTGCAAGATGGCRGCTGCCTGTAGTGGCGACCCGCGACCATGGAGATATAAACAGCTTTTTATAAGGTAAAAATAATAAAACAAAGCCTTTGTCTGCAATGATTAGACATGTTTTTTTATTATTGTCATTAGTGATTATCTCAATTTCGGCTAAAAGAATTGACAAAATCCTACACACTGTTCCTTTAACACTTCTAAAAATCAATACCATACATCATTAAAGAAAGGGTTTTCATTAAAACAACAATTATTCATAAGTTACATCAATTAGCTCATCAGTGCGATTAGAGCAGGGGTGTCTAATCCTGGTCCTGGAGTTCCACCAACTTGTTTTAGAGGTTTCTGTGGTCCAGCTCACCTGATTTGAATGAATGAGTGATCAACAGGCTTCAGCAGAACTTGAAGTTCCACCACCGTATCAGGTGTGTTGGAACAGCGACAGACAGATTAAACTGTTACTCCAAGCTGAGGTCATTCAAAGAGCTATCTGCAACAGGTAACATATTCATTATTTATTTAGAATCCAAAAGAGCTAAAGCTACCCCACATTTTGTCTGTTTATCTTTATTTAAACCCACACATGATGCTGTTTGTGATTGTAGCTTTAATCAGGCGTAAATTATCCAACAATTACCAAAAGCTCAGATTAGTTTGAATCTTTGTGGAAATGTTTTTTTCCCTCCTGATTATCTGAAATGTTACCGCAACAAAACACATTCTGAGGCGCGGGTAGTGTTAACATATCCCACCAGCCTCGTGTCACGTTATGGTTTAAGTGACTAAAATGTGACGGGTGCCTTCGGGGACTGTCACAGTTCACTGCGGGGACCTGGAGGAGGAGGGGAGGAGGGGTAAACCAGTCCTGATCCAGCGTCGGTGTTCAGGGGCCAATGACAAACTCCCGACAGAAACAATCACTGGATGTGCATGTGTGTCGGAACGTGTTCGGCTCTTTTCACGCAAAGCGTCGAAATTAATTTGGCATGCAAGCAGAAATCAGGCCACGACTGAAATGGCAGAAGAAGGATGTTGGTTTAATCTCAGCATGAGGGAAATCAGAGCATTAATAATGTGGTAGAAGGTGCATGAATCAGAACTTTAACTGGTCTGAGGGAATTTAAACTCGCTGACAGGAGAGCGCCGTTTGTTTGTCCTCATCAGCTGCTGACGGCGAAGAGTTTGTCAGCGTTCTGACTGAGCTGCTGTTTGAGCTTCATGTTGCTGCGACGCCCGACAAACTCAACAAGGTGACCTACACACACACACACACACACACACACACACACAC